TGCTTGGGCACATAAGTACTAGACATGTCCTGACACAAGGTTTGTACATGTTGTATTTACTCACACAATGAACTGTTATGCAAGTGGAACAAAGAACAGGATTCTACCTCATGGGATCTACTCAGAATTACTTAGGTAAAAATAAGATTGGTACATATATCATTTAATAAATGAACGGATTCAATGTTTTTGCTGGCTGCACCCAGCTACCCATCTTACCTCAGATGAGCCCCACCAGATACATTGCTATGCACAGCTGAGAGATGCACAGCAAATGCCTCAGGACTACTTGCATTTGGAACAAGATGTAATAAAATTGGTTTGCTTGGCTCACCATGGGAAAAGGTAATACTGCCTGGGAAAAGAAGACAGAAAGGTGTTGTGATCAGTTGCATTACATATATGACTTACAATAACTAGAACAATTAATAACTTAAAGAGATGGAGTAAAAAGAGTTCAGTGCACTTGGCTGGTGGAGGGGAAGAAGTTACAAAAGGCATGTCACAGATTCAAGATTTGGGAGTAAAGCTGGGGCAAATATTAATCTTTAACTCTAATAAGAAACAAAGTGAATAGTAATGGGGAAAGAGATAGTAGCAAGGTGATTTTCCATCGTTATGGAAAGACTTTGCTTCATTATCTCACCAAATTCTTCCAATATTCCTATCATACCTGAAGACAGGTATAGCACTCACCAGAAGCTGGTATGACATTGCCAAGGTGAACAAATTCTGGAATAAGGCCAGGTGGATACCCAGAGCTCCAAGTTACTGTTATGGGACCATACACTCCTTTCCGAGTTATAAGAGCTTGGGTTGTCCCTGCTGTGATATTTGTAAGGTGTAAAATAACAGAATCAAAGGCAACCTATAAAAACAAGGAAGACTGGTAATTGCCGGACGTGTGCGTACAGTAGCTATATATTATTAAAGTGAAATGTGTCTTGTGTATCAGATAATCAAATGCAGAGAATTGCTGTCACCAGCAGTATCATCCACTTGCAATAAATTTAAATCCCAGAATTCTCTGATTTATAGCAAGAAATACATCTCTGGCATGGTTACTGCAATGCATATAATACAATTTTGTGCACTGATGAAGAAATATGCACCCACAGAAATCCAGATTATGGTAAGAACATAAGAAAAGCCATAATGGATCAGATCAAAAGCCTGTCTACTCCAAAAGCATTGTATGTTCACAGCCAATCAGTTTGCCTATGGGAAATCTGTGAAAAGGACATGAGTTCTCCTGCACTTTCTGCCTCACATCCTCCAGAAATTGGTATGCTGCCTCTGATTCTGGGGATGATATAGAGTCATCATGAGTACTGGCCATTGGTAAAGAGCAGTTGCTTTTCTTAGATATAATCCAATGACATATAATGAAAAATGGCTGAAATGGATATTGCCAGTATTTGAAATGATCTAGTTAAAAGCCAACATGCTATGAAGTTGTAACTTGATGAAAGCACTAAAAAAAATAATCAGATTTCTTCTTTCCCTAACTTATTGGAATACGTATATAAAAATCTACAGGTACAACTCTTATACACTGTGCATCCTAAATACACAACAAACAAACCAACAAACAAAAACTGAAGAAGAAACTGTCTAATTTTCAAATGGCTTTGTTTAAAAAATTATTAAAATTATTCAACATTAGATCTAACAATACTGTCTGTGTATCCCTATTAAGAGCTTTGATCTGCCATCTGGTGGCAAAGATATTACATTGCTTTTACCTGAGAATTGGCAGCTTCACTGGGGATTTGCAGAGAGACTGACTTTGCTACCTCTAATATTTTAGGCACAATTTTGGCACTGACATTTAATAGGGTTACGCTTTTCAATTCCAGAGTGAAATTCAAGCCCAAGGATAGAAATACCTAAAAGAAGATAAAGAATGATATGATAGCCACTAAACAGCAAGTAAAACATTTAATCTTTAGACATTTTGATTTGGGAGACTTTTTTTAAAATACAGTGGTGCCCCGCATAGCGACGATAATCCGTGCAGCCAAAATCGTCGCTATATGGATTCGTCGCTATGCAAAATAAAAAAGCCCATACTGCCCCTGCCAAAACACCCACACCCACCCCAGCAAAGCACTGCTTTCAGAGGCTTCCCCAATGCATTTCCACTGCCTATTTACCTGCTGGGGAAGCTTCTAAGAGCAGCACGGATCAGCTGTAAGGCGGGGAGGGGGAGGGGCTGGATCGGAGAAGATGGCTCCCGGCTCTTTTCTGGGATGATCGCTTCCCCCCCCATCGCAAACGCCCCATTTTCGCGCAGCTGATGGGGGGCCTTTGCTAAGATCGCTGGCCCCGCCGATCAGCTGTGCAAAAATGGGCCGTTTGCGATGATGGGGGGAAGCCATCATCGCAAAGCGATTTTCCCCTATAGGGAACATCGCAATGCGATTGCTTTTGCGATCACAAAATCCACATCGCTATGCGGATTCGTCGTTAAACGGGGCACCCGTTAAGCGAGGCACCACTGTATACAGTTTCACAAAACCTTTCCCCTAGATTAATAGAAATTTACAGCGAACAATGTTAAAACAACCAACATTAACATGCCATTTGTATATTACACCAGTGATCCTGAACTTTATTTAGTAAGTGTCTATATGTAGCATATCATTATAATTCATTATATTCCAACATGCTGGGACAGTGTCTTCAAACATGCAAATTTTAGCATGATGTGATTCAGTTTAAGAAGTGCTTTTATCCCTCGATCCTATTAAATGTATAATCTGTCCCCCAGAATGTACATGGAGAGAGAATGTGTCCTAGCAAAATTCTGTGATGTGACAGAATCTATCAGGGGACATATGTAACCAACAGAAAATAATTTTACACTGCAATTTTTTTAAGTTACACATTTGTCAAAGAATATCAAATATTGAAAGTTGTTTCTTGGAGGTATAATCAGAGGAATTTGGTAGGAGATTAGGTTTTCCTATGATAAAACAAAACAATAGAAAACTCTGGCCTATACAGAAACATACACTCTCTATCATATCAAAAGATGAATGACATAAATCTTCGAAATAACCTTAGAATTGAAGCACTGGAAGGGACCCTCTGGATCATTAAGTTGTGCCGCTGTCAAGGGAGGCATAGTGGGGAATTGAGCTCCCAGATTCTGGCTCCCAGCCAGATACCTAAACCACTGAGCTATGATATCTTCTACAATATCTGAAAGAATCTGGACTGAGACCATGGCCAAAAAGAGATATTGCTCAAGATATATTGCAATGTGGAATAATAAATATGAGAGATGTCTTACAAAGTGAAGGGAAATACATACCTCAGTATGTATTGGCACTGTTTTCACTCCATAACTGGAGCTTGCTTTAATTTGCAGTTGTCCCACTGTGTCAGCTTCTGTGACTAAACTTTGTTCATTGGAAGATGAAATCTGATATTCCACAATCACATCAGCAAAAGTCCCTGCATGCCGAGTTATATTAATCTGGATAAGCCGGCTCAGGTCTTTCTCCACCAACACTGACTGTTTTTCAGAATACAAGGCAAACACTCCATGAGGATCATCATTTGCAAAAACAGTGAACCTGGAGATACTTCTCTCCATATCCGCATCAGCTCCTCCTTCCACGGAAGTAAGCTGTACCATGTAATGTTCATCTATTTCAGGAACATCATCAGGCAACAACAACATGACAATCTCAGATGTCCTTTGCTTATCAGGAATGACAACAAAGCCACTAGTGGCGAGGAAATCATCAGTAGTATCAGAATCACTATATAGTTTCCAATGAACCTAGAGAGAAAACCAAACCAACCTCTAATCAATAAATCTGAAACCGACTGTTTATCTCTATACAGTGGACCCTTGACTTACAGACAGCTTGACTTACAGACTTTTTGACTTGAGAACCGCCTTCCAATACGGATTAAGTTCTCAAGTCAAGACCCCACTGTATCTCATGAACAAAGTGCATCCCCAAAGGTCATTTTTGTGGCCCCTGGGTATTCTTCTGTTTAAAAAAAAAGGTTCAAAAGCTGTCAACTTCCACTCCTGGAAGCCTACAGGAATGTTTTGTAATAAAATGGAACAGTTCCCCAAATCCAACTCGCAATAATAAAACTAGAATTAGACTTCAAGGAATATTCATATTTTTCATGTTTGCTAATGTGGCCCCCATTGGACTTTGGAAGTGCAAAGTAGGATCTCCCCATGTTGCCCGGCCCTGCTCTATAATCATTCAGATATTACACAGCAATCTCTAGAGCAAAACATATCCCTTCCAAAAACCACTTCTCTTTACAACACATTCAGTTCCCACATACGGCTTCTGCATTATAATTATAGTCCTAAAATTAAGATGGTATTCATGCATGGCCCTGCCTTCCAAAATGTTTTACTGGAGAAATTCATTTTAAAGTTCAGTTAAGAACTTTGGGAATCCAACATACAAAGACTAATGTCTTTATAAAATCTAATTTCACTTTTATCTTCTGAATGAGGTCTAATGAGCTGTTAAATAATTCAGATTATATGGTTGTATTCAATTAGGTGTCAAAAAAAAACCCCTACCGTAATGTTTCCCATGGTGCCTTGAATTCGCTTTACGGAAAGGATGATACTGAGTGGCCCTTCATATGCTGACGGCTCCTCATAGTACTTTGGGATTAAGAATTCAGGAGCAAACTGCACAATACCATTGGGATCACCAAACTTCAGAATCTAAAAATTAGAAAACAGCATAACCGTCATTCTTGGCTTTCCTTATCTATCAAGCAGAAAACAAAATTAAATACTTTATGGAAAGGATGATAAGCAACAATCTATGATATATTCATTTAACATGCAATTTTCTCCCATCTCAAAGAACAGAAAGTTATGAACAATAATGCAAAATAGTTTTGGATGTTCAAAGGCTTTCTTTCTTTGCTTGAACAGCAGTCTCTCATGTCACAAGGAAAACCAAAAACATTTTTCTAAAGCAATTTGTGATATGATGATGAAAGAGCTGCTGTTCAGTTTTTAAAAAATAATTACTTGAGTGATTCTAGTAATAGATGACAGATTGTAAATCCATTATGAACAATATAAGAAAGACCAGGCAATAATGTCTCAAAGGACTTAACAAATGAACAAAAAACCTATGCATAATGACCTCAAACATTTTGAAGATAGAGCCTGATTCAAACTAGCTCAGGTGACTGAGTGTCAGGTGAGCTTACATTAAACAAAATGAAGCGAGGCTAAATACAAGCCCCTCTCAGCCCAGGGAAGTCCAAAATCCCCTTCACCTCAGCCTTACTTTGCACTGGAACAAAGGCTGCATCCCAAGTCTGGAGAAGGTCTAATCTGACATATCCCCCTCACACTCCCCCTTCTCCTACCTCTTTTTTGCCAGTTCTGCAAGCAAAAGGTCATGAACTTTGGATCAGAATAAAATGGGATCCAGAAAATGAAAGCTGTGTTAGGAAATTTTGTCATACATTTGCAAAGAGATGGTTAGCATAAAAGTATGACCTCTAGTGCCATACGTATGTCCCAAAATAAATCTCTGTGTTCATATCTGATGAGCAGAATACATCCAGCTCTTGGTGAGACATATGCCTAGATCCGTCAGCCGCCACTCATAATTTTTTCCCCCAAGAACATTTTCTTGGCTCAAAAATGCCACGTGATATGTAGGGGGTGTGGTGAGCAATGTTTTGAGGGAAGCTCAGCACTGGGGCCCACCACCAATTTTAATTTAAAAAATATATTTAAGAGGCTTTTTTCAGTTTACATTTTTGTAAGGAAAAGGGGGAGGGTGTCACAAAGGCTAGGCAAAGAAGGGGAAAAATAATCAATCCAGCTGGAAACAAACAAACAGAAATGATTTACTATTAGTGTAACGTTAGCAGCGTTGGGGTCCACTTCTGTTTCACCCTTTACAGCAGTCAGCCTCACAACAAAGGTTTCCTGAACTTCAACATCTTCATGAGGAAAAATTTCTAACTGGATGCTTCTCAGACCTCCTTCTGCCTCTTCAAAATAAAACGACCCATTTACTGGGTGACCAATATCATCGTTTAGAGCTGGTAAAACAACCTTTGAATTAGGTCCCAAAATATCCCAGTTTATCTGTGGAAGACACATATTTCAAGCATAGCATTTGTTAGTATTGGAAATATGTCATTATAACAGAAATGAAAGAAATATGATACCTTATATATGTTGCCATTTGCAGGAAAGGCATGATCTGCAGTTTAATTGATCTGATAACCAATTGGCTCAGTTTAGTTAACAACATTTGAGTCATTTATTCATCCTCCATGATTCTATCAATATGAACCCATTAATGACTTAGTGACCAGTCATTTGGTGAAAATGCAAAGGCCTAAATCCAATGTGATACTATTGGAATAGAAATCCTGATATTGTTGGGCTATAATTCCCAGAAGCCTTTACCATTAGATTTGCTGGCCAGGATTTCAAGGAATTGTAGTCCAAGAACACCTGGGGACCCAAGGTTGGGAACCACTGTCCTATAGCAGATAGTTATTGGCATGATTTTTTCTGCCAGAGTGGTATCCAAGAGGCAACTTTAGTCATCAGCACCACTCCTGAACTGCTGTTGCACTAGAAGAGTTCTCCTTAAACCATACTGGCCAAAATCTTGTAAATTATTACTTCAAACTTAACAGTAATGGTGTAACTTTTGGGTTCTAATTGCTGCAAGTTACAAATTCAGTGTAGCCATTCTCCATTGTGTGCCAAGTCGCACAACTCCGGGCCAAACAAATAATGTCTATGTTGACTTTGTAACTTGTAACAACTCACCATCAAAAGTTAGATTGTTTTTATTACACTTGGATAGAACGACAACAGGATTTTGGCCGTTTTATTCAATACTATGCAAGGACCAGAAATAACTCCAGCATATTCCTGTTTACATATCTACATGACACAAAAGTATATAAAAATTAAGTAAAGGGTAAATTTCATCTCATTGGTTTTATATGTGCTGTGAATTCCTACCAAAAGATAGATAAAACCTAATCTTGAGGGGGGGAAGGCATACCTGAGAATCTCCTATCAATCCTCCAGTTCTTTCCAGCACCAAGGACAGCGTCAATGACACATTAGGATTAGGGAGAATTATTTGACTTTGGTTGAGAAATCGGACAATCCCATGGGAAGAATCGCTCTTAGCAATTGTCACTTGGGCCACTAGGTGGAGCCCAAGGACTGCTCCTCCACTGGCACCTATAAGTTGGATTTCAAACTGCTCATTGTTTTCTCTGTTAGAGAGACAACAGAAAAAGATGTTTTGCTACCAAACATGAACTGCTCACACGGGTGTCACAGAAATCTGAATGCCCAGTAGTTTGCTGGAACACTTGCATATTACTCAAGATTAAATCTGAAGACTAAAGGCAAGGAAAAACACTGACAATATATAGTCTGAAATCAAGACAGTTCAGTACAGTCTGCATGCAGGTATGTAATGGCTATCTTAATGCGAGGAGCTATCTTAATGCATTCTTGAAATTACAGTAAACATCTCTGAAAATCAAATAATAGAGTGAAACAACAGCATTGTCCCTTTATGCACTGAAGATCATTATTAGACTGGAGAAAATTTACTTTTCAGATAGCAAAGAATCCTGTCATGTTTTTGTGATAGCCTTATCCATTTTCTACTCTCATAAATTCCAGATCCACCTCTAACCATATTATGTGCAATACCATGAAGGATAGTTATTGAACAGTCACTGGCTGGATAAAGGAAGAGAAGTCTTAAATATACCTTTCATCATCATCTATAATTAAGACACTGATAAAACTCTGGTTTTGGCCATGGAGAAAAAGGACTGATTTATTTTCAATACTGTAATCAACACCATCAGGAAGAGCTGAAATGCCTCTGCTTATGAAATCTGCAGACACATCGCCGTAATTCCCACGTTTTCGCACTACTGGAATCATTACCATTCCAGCATTCTCTTCCACTAGAAGAAATAAATTAGAAATAAAATATTTTGGCTAAATGTTTTTATACAAGCAACTTTTTTTTTCTTTTCGTGTGTTTTACAATAATAGTACATTCATAAACTCTTAATACTTTCATATATAACTGCTTATATTATCTCTTTATCTTTTCACACAGTCTCTTCCTTGGCTCATTACTGCATTTTTATGTCTAGCAAATGCCACTTAGAATGACCAGCATGCAACCCATTATCCTCTTGGTTAACTTTATTTTTGATCCCATATTGGATTTCAACAGGAGGTGCTGTATCTCCTTAAAGTTATCTTTTTAAATCTCCCCTCTGTATAATCTGATTCAATTCCATTAGTCAGTTTCTCCATCAGTTTGTCTATGACCAACTGATTACTTATTTGACTATACAGGACTATAAGGAGCACAAGGCAACCCACACAAGAGCAGACCTATCTAGACCAGTTTCTGTTCTCACACTGACCAGTCCATTGCCTCTTGGAAACCACGTAAGGAGGATCAGTGCACCAGCACCCTCTCACTTATGTTCCCCCTGTCTCACTGAATGTACTACAAATGTCACCATAACTGCAACAGAATTAAAATTACGAAGAGTTTATTACACTGTTTATTTCCACTGGTTTCCAACATGCATGTAAAAACTGTTTCTGAAATAGAGAGGCTGCCCATAAAATACAATTCAGCCTACAATTTCTCTTCCTATGTTCTTTGTTCTGAAAGGCTTCTCCTCTGGTACATCCATTGGACAGGAAGCAAATATATGTTAATTTTGGTTCCCTAAACATTCGTTTGCTGGATAACTGAATGGTATGTGGCTGTGGAGCCAGCGTTCGATTCCCCACTGTGCCTTCTACGAGTACAGCCAGCCTACGTGGCCTTGGGCAAGCTGCACAGTCCCTCAAAAGAAGAAGGTGGCTAATCTCTTCTGAATATTCTCTACCTGGAAATTCCTGGAAAGGGTCACCATGTCAGAATTTACTTTGAACATGATGATTATTAAACATTAGCACCTGATTCACTATGTAAATGAAGCAAGAACATAAAAAGAGAGTGCAATGCCTAAACATTAACAATAAATTTGCATTTAGAGGGCAAAGCACAGAAAGTCCACATAAGCATGACTACAGGAACAAATGGATACAGCTGATGTTGCCTTCTGATTATCAATTGATAACTTTAGTGGAAAAGGTATCAATTGACTGCTTTAGCTGAGATTTGCTGCAGGGAGAGGCAGCCCTAGGGTATATACAGAAAACAGGATTATGTAAAGCTAATTTTGGATCTCTGTCAAGTGGTGCAAGAAGGAAGGAAGGAAGAATAAGAAAGAAAACAGTTGCGAATAATCAAACCTGGAACAAATTCAATGTTTGCTTGGTTATTTAGAGACCTGAAAATTCTTTTCAACTATCATTCCACAAATAAAAAAAATTCAGTAACTACCAAACTGGATACTGTAAAAAGGCCTGGCTCCAGATGTTATGACTTACATGTATATATGCCTGATTTTAAACAATTTAGGATTCAGGACACACAATGGGTGTCATCCACCTGTCTAATTTTTGTTCTTATTTGGCCACTGAGAGAATATGCAACCAAAATTCAAGGTCCTTGAGAAAGATTTGTCTGTCATGAAACATAAAAATTATTAGTAGATATAATTGTATAATGATGGTTTTCCGTTGTTAATATCAATATGTGGTTCCTTATTCGCTACATGGGCAAATGGGCACATTTATACTCCACAAATGTAGTACAAGTGGTCCACAATTGCCCCATAAACAACAACATCAATAACCTGTGAACTGCAGAGGTGGAAGAGACTCTAAGGATCATCGAGGCCAGCCCCTGACAAGCATCAATAACCTTTGAACTGCAGAGCTGGAAGAGACTCTAAGGATCATCAAGCCCAGCCCCTGACAAGGAGGTACAGCGAGGAATCGAACTTCCAACCTCTGGGTCTACAGCCAGAGAGACCTAAGCCACTAAGCTACCCAGCAGTTTATGGAATTTAAAAGAAAATTCTTAATCAAGAACAAGATTTTGAAAGTTTGTCATATGTCCTATTTTGAACTGCAGAGCTGGAAGAGACTCTAAGGATCATCAAGCCCAGCCCCTGACAAGGAGGTACAGCGAGGAATCGAACTTCCAACCTCTGGGTCTACAGCCAGAGAGACCTAAGCCACTAAGCTACCCAGCAGTTTATGGAATTTAAAAGAAAATTCTTAATCAAGAACAAGATTTTGAAAGTTTGTCATATGTCCTATATTTCAAAATCTATTTATGTCATAAATATTCTAATTTAAAAGAAAATTCTTAATCAAGAACAGGATTTTGAAAGTTTGTCACATGTTCTATCTTTCAAAATCTATGTCATAAATATTCTGGTTTCTTTCACAAAACTCAAGCCAGTGCACTTATAGATCCTGTGTGGTCTTCCACCACGATACTTGCATCCTGCACCATAGGCCTTCACTTCTGCCTGGTGACTCCTTAAAAATACCCCTCTGGAATATCAATCGATCGATCGATCGATAGATAGATACTGTGTGATCTTCCACCGTGATACTTGCATCCTGCACCACAGGCCTTCACTTATGCCCGGTGACCCATTAAAATACCCCTCTGGAATGCAATAGAATGCTGACTTCACATACCTTGTAGACTTATATATAGTGGATCAAATTCAATTATTCCCTCAGCATTGTCACTTTTTGATATAATGATTCTCATTACTGAAGCATTTCCTATCTCAGGGGGCTGGTCGATTTGCAGTCCATTTTCTTTTATTGTGAAATCAAATCCACTTGCAAAATCATGCGAAGAGAAATACAAATAAATTAGGCCATAAACACTAACTCTTGTATGCCCCTATTTTAGTTGTAGGAATTGGCTTTGTTCGGTCATAACACCCAGCTATGTTGTTTGGTGTTACCAGAAACAGCCTTGGTTTGCAAGCCTAGGCCTGACTCCAGTTATTAATCCTCAACTTGAACAAACCCATGGAATCAATGCAATTTGACTTCCCATTCTTGTTGACTCATCAAGTTGCCACTGAGTCAATGGATGGACTTAATTATGACTAACAATTGGATTTAAGTCCTGGTTTGCAACCCTGGTTTGAAGGGCAAGTGGAAACAATAGAAAAAATCATTTCTTTTTCCTTTTTGTTTTTCTTATCCAGGCATAACCTCCTTCTTGACAGTTGAATTCAGAACATAAAATCAACTAAGACATTCAGGTTAATTAAACAATTTTTTCTATACAGCATTTTGTATTTTTACCTTCCCACTAGTACCACTTTTGTAATTTCTACTGAAAACTCTTCAGGGCCTTCAGGAATTTCATCATCAAATATTTCAGTGTTAATAGTTTTAATAGTCTCATTGGGTTCAAAAGTAAGCTGTCCTGATGTAACTGCAAAATCCATGCCTTCCACTGCAGTTCCATTCAGTGTCCGATACCAGAGATGAATATGCCCATAATATCCTTGTGAACGAACAACTGTGACATTAACCTGTTGGAGAAAAATATTTCTGAAGACTTCAGCTCTAAATTTTCCCTCGCATGCTATATTTAATGAATCCCTTCCATCCTGGATTAGATTTAAGGTAGTTTGTGGAAACATTCTGAGTAGGAAAAAAGATAAATTAAATAAAACATTCTGCCTTGAATTCTATAGAGAATCCTAGCTACAATAGACCCATAGAATCAGCTGTTTTGTAGTGAGTCAATACTTGTACAAACAGTACTGATTCAATAGATCTACTCTGTTTGACACTACACATTTGGATTTGGGCTTTTAACAAGAAACAAATAGAACTAAAACACTTTAGTTGAACTAGCTTTCTGGGAAAGTTTTCTAGCACCTGACCACATGCATCTACAATGGAAGAGCCCATGGATAATACAATCTAATGAGAAACTAGAGTATGAAGACAATAATGAAAAGCGGTTCCAATAGTTCAGTATTTAAATGCCACAAACCCATTTTTCTTCTTCTGTTGTCTGCAACAGTTCCTGTGAAAATGCAAACACCCCATATGGTACATCACTAGCAGCCATGGTGATGTTTGCAGTACTGGCAGACTCATTTATGATTCCTCCATCACTGATACCAGTTAGGTGAAACTGATAATAATGCTTTTCTTCGGGGTCATGATCATCTACTGCCTAAAAGGAAGAAAAGAAATCCAACTGAAAAGATTTAAAAACTATCCACTATGATCAGAAGAGGAAGTTCTGGCTTTGAATGCAAATCAAACACAAAATATAGGACATAAATGGGAAAACACTATTCTTGAGATATGTCAGATGAGTTGCTTTAAGATACAGCAGAAGCCCTGCACACTAACACAACACAAGGTGCCCTGCCATCATGAAACTGTTTGGCAAAAAAACAACCCTTCAGATACGCTGCTACTTGTGCAACAGAAAGGATGTACCTACAAAACAACTAGAATGGGGAAGAGAACTAAGTGGGATGAAGCAGCACAGAGGGGCACGTTTATGATGTGTCTCACAGTGCTCTATACAATAACCACACCTACATGGATTGTACATCTTTACACCAAAAGGCATTTCTTTTCAAGATCTGAAATTCATTCCAGAGTAAGCTGGCTGGATAGCTCAGTGAGTTAGGTATTTGGCTATGGAACCAGAGGTTGGGAATTTGACTTCCCACAGCACCTCCAAG